AACATAAAAATGTTCAAAAATAGAACACACGTAAAGCGATTTATTTGCAAAATGGAAAAAAAAGATAGTGGCGTGTGTGTGTGTGTGTGTGTACTGGTGTGCGTGAGACAATGGGGTCCTGCACAGAGAGATCCCAATCACAGACACGTATTAGATGGAGAGGTAATTCCTAGCGCGGTCGTTCCTGGGGCCCCATGCATGATAAGAAACATATACCTATCTACTTCTAAGACAATCAGTAGGAGCTATGAGAAGGATTCGAACCCGCTCTCTTGGTACTCCTACTGATTTTGTCATTGATACATCACGTTAATGGGGTTTCATTGTGTATCCACATCTGCATATGAGCCCATATATATGTATGCCTCTGTAAGCTTTCCACTCCCGCTGGTAGATAATAATAAACTAAACTAACTGAAACAGCAAATATATTGGAGATCATTAAGTGATGTTGTAAAGCTGTAGGATCAGTCCGATAAATGGCCACAGAAATTATATCGCAATTGTTAGATGTTCAGCAAACTCAAGAAACCAGCTCAGGCGTCAGAAAGATAAAAGTATCTGTGGTGGTTATATCAAACTGAACCTCTCGCCTGAGGGGGTCATTAACATGGAAGCTTCAGCACCATTTGCTTATTTGGTATTCATAACAACAGCTAGGCTCCGGCCAGGGTTTGTATTACATAGTGGCTTTTTATTTGTTGAAAATATGCGAATGTCGCCCCCTATTTTAAAACGGCTGAAAGAGCTTAGCAGAAAATCTACCCTTGGTTCAGGGGGTTCTTTCACTCTGATGCCCCTGTTACCTAGCAGTATATAGGTACCTGGGAGTTAGACAGCTGTTACGCTGCTTCCTGGCGTGGGGGGGGGGGGGAGTTAAAAAAGAAATAGTAGTTAGTAACAGTTGATTGATTGACAGGTGAGAGGCGGGCCGAAAGAGCTGAGCTCAACCCCTCAAGCACACCTAGGTGAATACAACTAGGTGAAAACACACATCCGATCGTCTTGACCTCGCGCATATTGTAACCGCGTAGAGAGTCCTATAAGGCAGGGACTCATTCACATCTCACTGTGAACAGTCTAGTGAAGTCAACGTACCTTGGTTTTGTTACAAATAAATCCTGTCTTACAAACCTGCTCACATTTTGGGGAAAAGGTAACCAGAGTTATTCAAGGGACTTCCAGTAGATGTAGCATGCGTGGACTTCGCTTAAGTGTTTCATAAGGTACCACATGATACTGGCATGGAACATACAAGCACATGGAATAAATAGTGGAATACTAGAATTGATAAAACAACAATGGTTAGAACAAAGTGAGCAAAGGGTCCTCCTAAACGGAAATGAATCTGTATAGAGAAATATGGTGAGTGGGGTACTGCAAGGTTCCACTTTTGGTCCAACCCATTTAATCATATACATCAAAAACATAGATGACAATATTATAAACCACATCGTCAAATTTGCAGATGATATTTAATTATTAGATTTATGGTAAAGTATGAAGTGACACTGATACTGAGGCCTTGCAAAGAAATCTATGTGAACTTCACAATAAGGGGTCGGCAAATGCTTTTAATATCGAAAAACGCAAGTCCTTGCATGTGATACATAACAATTAATGCGCATCACAACTACCAAATCAACATTACCTTGCAGCAGAGTGATGAAGAAGAGGATCTTAAAGTCATAATACACCAAACACTAAAAGTTACACAAGTGGGAACTGCAGTAAAACACAGACAACCAAATCCTATGAATAGTTGATAATCCTTAAATGAAGCCTAGTAGCTCATTATAACGAATAAATAGATGATTAAAGTGGAATTAATTATGGTGACTAATAATGATTAGTGAATAACCATAAATTATTATACAGAAATAAAATTATTGGATAGCCGTTATAATGATTAAATCAAATACAATGAAGAGAGATCTCGTATTCTTGGCTTATCACTTTGGGGGTTCCGTCGGAGCACCCCCAATCCCGTGAGGGCCATTAAACGAAACTTTGACTTCAATGAAAAGAAGGTAGTTATAGAACTATATAAATCTGTGGTGCGCCCTCAAGCATGGAGACGTCATCTTCAGGACGATACAGCTGCTTGGGAGAACGTTCAACACCGGACAACAATCATTCCAGAACTAAGTCGACTCTCATACCAGGAACGGGTGAGGGCCACAGGGGTAACAACACTATAACTCAGACATGACAGGGCGGATCTCTTCCGATCTTAAAATACTAAACAATTTAGAGGATATTGATCCAGACAACGTCTCCATACGGGCAGATATAACACAAACAAGGAGCAACGGTTTCGAGCTCAACAAGCCACAATAATATAACAGTAATAATTTGTATTCAAAAGAATGTGTACAAAGAACATAAGAGTAATGGAGAATTGTGGGAGACAGGAGTTACACATACCAATGAAGCCACCCAGTACACAAAGCGTTTCTTGCAAAATTTTGAATAATTTAGATAAAAAAATTATTTAAAGGTGTGAAGGAGTAAACACTTAATAATAAAAGAGAAGTAAGCTAACAAAATTGACTAAGTTCAAGAAAGATAACAAATAAATACAATACAAAAGGTGATACGTGATGATGACAGGCATAGACTATTACATTGTGGCAACCAATATAATTCATAATTATTAATTTATTGTGCCAGGGGACAGGGAGCCCGAGTGTGCTCATACACGTTAGGCTTATATCGAGGTCCCGCCAGTTTCCTCTTTCCTATTTATTTATTTATATATATATATATATATATATATATATATATATATATATATATATATATATATATATATATATATATATATATATATATATATATATGCGAGTAAAGCGAGCAAATAAAGAGCAACATTAAAAAAAACTTGGAGCACAATTTCACAAATATTGGGATCAAAGAAGATTTTAAATAACAAACCAACACTCCTTTCCAATAACGTTGGTCAGCTTTCAGCCTCTGATTCTGCTATTGAGTTCAATAGGTTCTTCTCTTCCATTGGGTCATCCCTTGCAAATGATATTCCATCTTCCTGTACTGATGTTAAGGACTATCTTACAGGTAACTATCCACAGTCTCTGTACCTAAAGCCTACTAGTTCCACTGATGTCAATGAAATAATCCTTTCCCTTAAAACCAAGTCTAGTGCCCTCGAGGAGATACCAACTTTAATTTACAAAAAAAACTCCAGATCTTTAGCCCCTGCTATTGCATTGCTCTTCAACAAGTCACTTGAACTCCAAACCTCTCCTGACATTCTAAAAAAAAGCAAGAGTAACCCCTGTCCACAAATGTGGTGATCTCACAGATGTTAACAACTACAGACCTATATCAATCCTGCCTAACTTGTCAAAAATATTCGAAAAACTAATCTACAAGCAGCTTTACTCTTTTCTAGCCAAACACAATATACTTAGCTCTTGTCAATATGGCTTCAGACCCAAAAAAAAGCACTAACGATGCACTTATTAGTATGATTAACTTAATTCACGCAGCTCTTGATAAAAAGGAGTTTCCTGTTGGGTTATTTGTGGACCTGCGTAAGGCTTTTGACACTGTCAACCATCAAAACCTTCTTCTTAAATTACATCATTATGGAGTCAGAGGACACTCCCTGCAATACCTCAAATCTTATCTTACTGACAGGCTCCAGTATGTTTCTGTGAATAATACAATTTCTCCCACCCTACCCATCAACATTGGTGTTCCTCAGGGCAGCATACTTGGCCCTCTCCTCTTTCTCATCTACATTAATGACCTTCCAAATGCCTCCCAACACCTCAAACCAATTCTATTTGCTGACGACACAACCTTCATTTACTCCAGTCCTGACCCCCTTGCTCTAAATGCCACAGTAAATACTGAGCTAGAGAAAGTCCATCTTTGGCTAACTGCCAACAAACTCACCCTTAACATTGACAAAACGTTTTATATCCTGTTTGGCAATAAATCCTCTAATCAGATAAATCTCAAAATAAACAATACCCAAATTTGTAACAAATTAGATGGCAAATTCCTTGGCGTTCTCATCGACCACAAGCTGAATTTCCAGGGACACATTCTAAATATATCAAAAAAAGTTTCAAAAACTGTTGGCATTCTTTCTAAGATCAGATATTATGTACCCCGCCCTGCCCTGGTTACCCTCTATTACTCCCTTATCTATCCATATCTCAACTATGGTATTTGTGCTTGGGGTTCTACTACCCAAAATCATTTACGTCCTCTAATTACTCAACACAAAGCTGCTATTAGGGCAATATCCAACTCTGGCCCCAGACATCACTCGGTACCCTTACTCAAATCTCTGAATATGTTAGATATTAAGTCACTGCACATTCTCTCTTGTGTATTATACATATATAAAACGCTGAACTGTAATGCCAATCCTGACCTCAAAAGCTTCATTGAAGGTTGTAACAGAACCCATGAGCACCACACCAGAAATAAATACAGTTTTGATATTCCTAGAGTACGCCTTAATCAAACTAGAAATGCTCTACAAATCAAGGGACCCAGAATGTGGAATGACCTTCCCAACCATGTTAAAGACTGTACCTCTCTCAACCAGTTTAAGTTAAAAACGAAAGGACAAATGTGGGGGGGGGGGCCTTTGACAATTTTTTCCATTTACTAATAAAAAATGTATCATACTTTCATACATCATTCATACATACGATACTTTCTGAAAATAAAAGATAAGAAATTCAATAGATGTCAGCGTTTAAGTGTTCCTCTGTGACTTGTTTGTATAACTATCAAGAGAAAGTTCAAATATTTAACAACAGATCATTAATTAAGGCAAGAAAAAGTTACAAACTGTAAACTCACGTTGAAAACTGGCCGAGGGTCATCGTTCAGAAAGCTATTTGGGAATAAATATACAACTGCTGCACGTGTTTTAGCAGTTGATTAAAGGTCAATTCTATGGAGAGAGAGAGTGAGATAGAGTGAGAGAGAGAGAGATAGAGTGAGTGAGTGAGAGAGAGTGTAAGTGAGGTAGAGAGTGGCGGCGGGGGCGGCTGAAGGAGAGAGCGGCCAGGCCGTCATGGCGGGGAGTGGCGGCGGCGGCCGTGCAGACGACACTACTATGGCAGGATTCCGGGACAGGAACTCTCGCGTCGTCGGCACCTGGAAGGTAACTGTGGCCGCCCATACATGGCCACCTGGTGATGCTGGCCACCCACCACCCTCCCGCCGCCCTCCTGGCACGCCCACGCCACTAATATCCAGTATTCCCCACTCTGGAGGCTGTTGCCCTGGGCTGGCCAGGGGCGCCCTCGGCCCTCACATTGATCATGTTAACCCTACCTCATATTTCCCCACCTCAGGCTGACCCCTGTGTGGGGTCAGTGGTGAGGCGGGGGTCACTAGGGGTCACGGCCGTAATGGACAGCCGTGACCTACTTGACACTTAACAAAGACGACACTGACCCGTATTACTCCAGCACTTGACCTCTCCAGGACTGTGTACTCACCTAGTTGTGCTTGCGGGGGTTGAGCTCTGGCTCTTTGGTCCCGCCTCTCAACCGTCAATCAACAGGTGTACAGGTTCCTGAGCCTACTGGGCTCTATCATATCTACACTTGAAACTGTGTATGTGTGTTCCCACAGTGTTGTGCTGGCGGGGCTGGTCCCGCCTCTAAGCTCTCATACTTCAACTGTCAGTCAACTGATGTACAGGTTCCTGAGCCTACCAGGCTCTATCATATCTACATCTGAAACTGTTTATTTACTTATTTATATACAGGAAGGTACATTGGGGGTTAACAGAGAATATAGAAATTAAGTTTTGCCTGCCCGAAACGCTTTGCGTAATAGTGGCTTTAGGCATTGTATGTACTAGCTCTATCTATAAAGCCAACAAACTTTGTAAAATCTCTATATGTATGTACCTTACCTAAATAAAATTATTATTATTATTATTATATTATATATAAGTTCATTACATTCTTGTAAAGCCACTAGCACACATAGCATTTCAGGCAAGTCCTTAAACTAACAGATAATTTTTAGATAATTCATAGTAAAATTGACAGAAAATGTTTACAGGTACTTTACAGCTTTACTTTACAGGTACAGATTATTTTAAGTAGAATAATTACAGTAAAATTGACAGAAAATGTTTACAGGTCCATTGCAAGAAATTTTGACACAAAAGCAGATTAGAATAATACACAATAATGAACAAGGATTAAGAGGTACATTAGGATAACATTCAGGGTTATACATTGGTTCACTGAAGCACAGTATGAGGATCATTTCAAGGAATTATGCAGTAGAATATGCACTCAAAACAATGAAGATGAAATTAGGTACTTTTTGGTTTTATTTTTGAATAAGGCAAAAGTTGGACAGCTTTTCAATTCATTAGGGAGTGAGTTCCATAGACTAGGTCCCTTTATTCCCTGTGTATGGAGTCAGCCTCCACCACATTACTTCCTAATGCATTCAACCTGTTAACTACTCTGACACTGAAAAAGTTCTTTCTAATGTCCCTGTGGCTCATGTGGGCACTCAGTCTCCACCTGTGTTCCCTTGTTCGCGTACCACCCGTGTTAAACAGTTTGTCCTTATCTACCTTGTCAATTCCTCTAATAGTTGTGACGGTAGTGATCATGTCTCTCCTAACTCTTCTGTCTCCCAGTGTCGTGAGGTTCAGTTCCAATAATCTTTCCTCATAGCTCATTCCTCTCAGCTCAGGGACTAGCCTGATGGCATAACATCGTTTTGTGTTTGACTAGATGTGGACTCTAGGCTGGAGCTGCATATTCCAGTATTGGTCTGATATATGAGGTATACAGGTTCTGAATGATTCCTTACACAAGTTTCTGAAGGCTGTTCTTATTGTTTGCCAGCCTTGCATATGCCGCTGATGTTATCCTTTTGATGGATAAACATATAAAACAGGTCTTCGGGGAACAGGTCTGGTGTGATATCAACCACCACATATTTCTCTTGTCCTGACTGCTGAAGTTCTTCTTCTTCCAGCTGGTACCTTGTGTTTGACTGCCTCCTACTTCCTATGCCTATCTTCATCACTGCACTTGCTCGAGTTAAAATCTCGTAGCCATTTGCTGGACAATTTTTTCAGCCAGTTCATGTTTTGTGTGTGTGTGTGTGTTTTTGTGTGTTAGTGCAGGATTGAGTACTGGGGTCACACCCACCACAAAGGGGGGGGGGGAGGGTCACCTCACCACCTTTGCCTTTTTCACCTACTGGGATTTAACTAACCCAGTTAGTGTTGAAGGATTTAATTTACTGAGCACCCATCACCAGATTTATGCTTTGTTCAATATTGACTTTCATATTGCAATTCAAAAAATCACTAAAAATTCTGTGTTAGCTTTGAGACTTTCCCAAAATGCTGTCTGAGAGTTACTTTGTAACAATGTACCGCTTGGTTACCAACAAGTGTAATTTCACAACTGGGAGATTTAACTTTTTTTTTTACATTTAACTAGAATTTGTTAAGGTGAATATAATGACATGATTAACTACGGCATGTTAATCCCTAAAATGTCAACCTACTGACTTGTTAGGTAATATTCATATACTGTACTTGATAGTCATGATTGTATATTATTTGCTTGCTTTCTGTGAGTGTTCTAGGAGTGGTTGTAAACATGAAATTAGTAGGATGAAGTCAAATTAAGCTTCTCCTAATCACCCAGTCACAGCATAAATGTTGAATCCTCATCTTGCTGTAGCAGAGAGAGCTGGTTTCCACTAAATGGTGTTAACTACCTTTATTGTAATGCATCTTGAATATTTCAAGCTTTCCACTGAGTATCCAAGAGAATAAAGCTACTCTGTCATGTTACAGGTCAATTAAATGTGTCTACATTCATTCAATACATATCCAACACTTATTTATTTATTTATATACAATGTACATTGGGGGTTAAGAGAGTACGGGGCCTCGTAGCCTGGTGGATAGCGCGCAGGACTCGTAATTCTGTGGCGCGGGTTCGATTCCCGCACGAGGCAGAAACAAATGGGCAAAGTTTCTTTCACCCTGAATGCCCCTGTTACCTAGCAGTAAATAGGTACCTGGGAGTTAGTCAGCTGTCACGGGCTGCTTCCTGGGGGTGGAGGCCTGGTCGAGGACCAGGCCGCGGGGACACTAAAGCCCTGAAATCATCTCAAGATAACCTCAAGATAACCTCAAGAAGTACATAGTAATGATGATGATTTTACATTCTTGTAAAGTCACTAGCACGCATAGCGTTTTGGGCAAACTTACGGGATTATTATTCCGAGCAAAAGAACAATGGCATTTGTAACTTTTAATTTGTTGCCAGTTCTACATTTACAATTATATATATGTATACAGTTAATATTAAGTTAGACTAGATTTAGCAAAGTTTGGAAAGGGTTTTGGTGTGATTGTCAGTGTGTGTGAAGGGCCACTGAGGCAGGGGAAACTTGGAAGGGTTATATTAGCATTTTCATCAGGCCTTCATAATATCAACTATGCTTATACTGTGTATTCTTGGCTCTCCAGGTTAATTGGGATTGTTAAATTAAGATTTCCAATAAATCATTGCCAATTAAAATTTCTTGCTGATAACTATCCATGATTATCAGATGATATCTAAGTTGGTTCTATTTCCTTCATGAAAACATTGTAAAAGAGTCTCAAGAATATTGTATACTTGTTAACAAGTAGGATATCTTTATTAATCCTTTTGCTTTGGTTTGGTTTATAATAGTAATCAATAGAATTAATATGAAAGCAAAATAATAAATACATGCCGTTCTGTACTTGAAATATCGTGACTGATTGACCTGACTTATCTTCTTGTAATTCAAATTATGCTCTATGATCTTCCAATACCATTCCAAAAGCACCATTCTTTTTTCACTGTTTACTGTGTGTTGTTCATTTCAGATCATCGAGTGTGTTTCACTGTCAGGATCATCAGAGGCAACAGGAATTGAGGGGTAAGTTATTATAATCTGCCTTGATACTCTTGCTGGAAATCCTCCCCAATGTGACACAAATTCATACTCATTCCTCCACCTAAAGCACTTTGCTAAGTATAATGTACAGGTGTTGTTAATTTACATAATGACTTTATAGTCTCAAATGGTATAATAATTTTTTGCATTCTCAAGTGAAAGTGAAGCCAGATGTTTATTTATGCAAAATTTGTTGTAAAACCAGACTGTTTCATAGGTACAGTATCAGTTGTGTTTGTTGGCGTCTATGTGTACATTTATAATTATATTTCATTGTGCTGGGGTACAGGCAGCCAGTGTGTATCTTAGGCTTGTATTCCCCCCCCCCCCCAGGTCAAATTACTGACCCTCCACAGGATGTAACCCCACAACAAGCTGACTAATTTCTGGCTACCTATTTACTGCTAGGTGAATAGGCCCATTAGGTGATAGAAAATGCTGCCAACCATTTCTGTCCCGCCCAGGATTCAAACCCGGAATTCTCGATTGTGAGTTGAGAACCATCCCGACTGTACTGCGTAGACTTTCTTCTCATTACCTTCATTATTACCCATTACCAAATGGGTCCCGATACTACAGTCGGGTTCGTTCTCAACACACAATTGAGAATTCCGGATTTGAATCCTACGCGGGACCATAATGGTTGGCCACATTTCCTATCACCTAATGTCCCTGTTCACCAAGCAATAAATAGGTACCCATAAAGTTAGTCAGCTTGTTGTGGGGTTACATCCTGAGGAGGGTCAATATCGGTAATTTGACTGGGAAGGGGGGGACCCCCAAAAATGTCAAAACATGAATGAATACACTCTGGCTTCCTGTCTCCTTACACAATGGATTAATTTAAATTCAAATTATTTTACTGCAAGGGCATTCACTCTCATACAAAAAATGATAAATTACCATATCTTTACTATGCTAAAACTTTACTGTGGATTGAGCAACTGATTATACAGTACTGAAAATTATAATCAACTACTACATAATAACCATATTATGTGGTTATGTGGCAAGAATGTTAGAAACCTGAGATATTCTCAGTAACCACACGTGTAAAAATATAACTGAAGCCGCTGCACAGAAGCTTACTCGCCGGGGTCGATCTTGTGGCTGGAGCGCCCCCCTCCCTCCTCACAGGGACCAGTCTCCCAAGGCTGGCCACAGGGCAGGTGTGGGAGGTGGAACCCGTCCGCACAGCATTTGGCATGTGCTGTGGCTGATTGCGTAGAGGTCGCGCCCTGTGGCTGACCTCTTTACCCATGGAGTGTGCGCATGCAGCCAGGTGCAATCAGATTCACTCATTTTCCTTCATACAGAAACTTTCCCGCTTTTCCAAGCAGGATTATTTTTTTCTGTGACACGAAAATGTTTATAAGATCATTGATGAAATAACTATGATTCATCAAAATTATTATTGACAATTATCACTGTACAATGTGAAGGTAAAGGAAAGACCCAATACTGTATATTTATAAATGCATTAAAAGCTAATTTTTTAGATGTAACCAACATCCTTTCTCAAGGTGCTCTGTACAAAGAACATTGTTTACAGTTCCTTGAGAAAGGATGTAGGTTACATCCAAAATTTAGGTTTTTATACCTTTATACATATATTGTTTTTTCTTCACCTTCATTCAAGCACTATGGCATTGTAATAAGTTTCTCCACTGTACAATGTGTTATTAATAGGACTTAGGGTAATGTTTAAATAATAATCGAATGTGACATTGTTACAAAATCCTGAGTATATTACTGCTAATTTATAGTGGAACTTTTATTTATGCCAATGCTGCATATTACTGTATGTGGTTAATTAATGATGGAACACAATAATAATGCAAAATTCATGTTTCGTAGTGCTGTTTTCATTTGAATGAATGACTAAAGTTTCATATTTAATTTCAGGACCGAGTTTGTGCTGTCCGAAGCCGGAGATGTCACGTGGACCGTTACCGATGGCTGCGATGCACTCCCGCTCTTTTCCTGCCAAATGTATGAGGTGTATACTTACCAAAATCTTCAGTGTTATGGCAATAGAACATTGCTTCGCTTTGCTGCTTATAATGGACACATTATTGAATTTAGAGTAAGTTGATGTATTTATTTACTTTTCTTCCATGTAAGATATTAATTTTTCCATGTGAGCACACAGGGTAGAGGGGAGCTTGATCCCAGAAAAAAAAAAAACACACACACGTTAGAAGATAGAAGGAAAAGAAGTGATATGATCACTAAGTACAAAATAGTAACAGTCATCGACAAAATACAGGAATTTTGGGAACCTGCAACTTCAAGAACAAGAGGTCACAGATTCAAGCTAAGGAAGTAGAGATGCCCCAAAATAATTAGAAAGTCATCTTTTGCAAACAGTGTTCGCAATAATTTAAGTAAGAAGGCATTAGATGTCAAAACCATCAGTAGTTTCAGAGTGTCATATAATTCAAGTGTCATACAATTCATATGACCGAATACCGGAAAGACGGGACTCCTCTAGCATAGCTCTCATTCTGTAACTACACTTAACACTATCGCACGCGCCACGAGAGCGCCGCAGACTTTGATGTCATGGAGCCAATGGTGCGAGCGAGCGTGCGGCGACGTTTAAATGTGAATACTTGTTTCAGTTTTCTCACCTTAATTCTCGTGCTACATCGTTCGTTTTGGTATCATTGTGTTCGCAATTAAATTCCCTGCAGTTGTATATGCATATAATGTCCAAAAGCCTTGCGAGACTCCCCACAGCAAAGCCTGAAGTCGGAAAAGTTACCCGTGAGCGCACAAAATCAATAAAATGTGTATACTGTACTCGTTTCAGTTTTCTCACCTTAATTCTTGTGCTACATCGCTCGATTTGGTATCATTGTGTTCACAATTAAATTCCCTACAGGTGTATTGGAATATAATGTACAAAAGCCTGGAGTGCCTCCCTGCAGGAAAGCCTAAAGTTACCCGTAAACGAGCGCCAGTTTGTATACTGCAACCTAATGTGTATACTCGTTCAGTTTGATAACATCAATTTTCGTGTTACGTCTTTCATTTTGGTATCAAATTGTTTGCAATGAAAAGGTGCGTATTTTAAAACTAGTCCCATAATAATAGAGCAATAACTGGAATTTTAACAAATATTTTAATTCTGGAAGCTCATCATCACAAATTATTTATATCTTTCCAGTGTTCTGACATAAATTTTTGTGTTACATCTTTCATTTTGGTATCAAATTGTTCGTGACGTAAAGGCGCGCATTTTAAAACTAGTCCCATAATAATAGCACAATAAGTAGAATTTTAACAAATATTTTAAAATTTTGACCAAAAACCTGTTTATAATCATATAAGTGTTCGGACATCAAGTTTCATGTTACGTCTTTCATTTTGGTATCAAATTGTGTGCATTCTAAAGGCGTTTAATTTGAAACTATCCCGAGGTCGATCGGATAAAAAATGAATTTTATATAAATATTTTTGTAGTGGATGCGAGTCCTTTCCAAAGCTAGCACTCTGGAGAAAAAATGGACATGATACGTATCCAAAGAGAGCGATAGTGTTAAGTAACTACCAGTTGACTGAGAGTTCAATCAACTGAACTGACAGAACCAAAGAAGCTAAGCTCATTCCCCACATAAGCACAATCAGACTAGCACAGCAGTTAGGTAGATAAAGTTAGGTACTGTAATTGTTTTTGAGGTCCTGGGTTTGAGGCTGTGATGTTCCAAGTGAATGAAAACCCATTACAAGCTGAATAATAAGAATTTCAGAGTAATTGTGCATGGTCCTGTACATGGACACACGAGGAGCAGCTAGCCGAGTTTACCCGAGAGCCACTAACACTAGTGGCCTCGACGAAGACAGGAAGCCGGCGGCTTGTCCAATGTCCCCCCCCCCATTTGCCTTGACGATCTTTTCCAGTTGTACTTTAAACGTGAGCAGAGTTTTGGTATTTACTGCTTCGGCGGGTAGGTGGTACTTTAGAGATTATTCAAATTATTCTACTTGGAAAGGAACTTTTCACTTTAACTCAAAACACTTTTTTTTTTCTTTTAGCTTGACCAACCGGTGATGTCTCGAGACCTGATGTTGTTGACGTATGATGGATGGTTCATGCTGCAGTGTGAGAAGGTGAGTCTGGTTTGTTTCAGGCTGTAAAGATTGGGTGTGTGGATGAGGGAGGTCGAGGGTGTGTGGATGAGGGAGGTCGAGGGTGTGTGGATGAGGGAGGTTGAGGGTGTGAGGATGAGGAAGGTCGAGGGTGTGAGGATGAGGGAGGTGGAGGGTGTGTGGATGAGGGAGGTCGAGGGTGTGAGGATGAGGAAGGTCGAGGGTGTGTGGATGAGGGAGGTCGAGGGTGTGAGGATGAGGGAGGTCGAGGGTGTGTGGATGAGGGAGGTCGAGGGTGTGTGGATGAGGGAGGTCGAGGGTGTGAGGATGAGGGAGGTCGAGGGTGTGAGGATGAGGGAGGTCGAGGGTGTGAGGATTAGGGAGGTCAAGGGTGTGAGGATGAGGAAGGTCGAGGGTGTGTGGATGAGGAAGGTCGAGGGTGTGTGGATGAGGAAGGTCGAGGGTGTGAGGATGAGGGAGGTCGAGGGTGTGAGGATTAGGGAGGTCGAGGGTGTGAGGATGAGGAAGGTCGAGGGTGTGTGGATGAGGAAGGTCGAGGGTGTGAGGATGAGGGAGGTCGAGGGTGTGAGGATTAGGGAGGTCGAGGGTGTGTGGATGAGGAAGGTCGAGGGTGTGAGGATGAGGAAGGTCGAGGGTGTGAGGATGAGGAAGGTCAAGGGTGTGAGGATGAGGAAGGTCGAGGGTGTGAGGATGAGGAAGGTCGAGGGTGTGAGGATGAGGAAGGTCGAGGGTGTGAGGATGAGGAAGGTCGAGGGTGTGAGGATGAGGAAGGTCGAGGGTGTGAGGATGAGGAAGGTCGAGGGTGTGAGGATGAGGAAGGTCGAGGGTGTGAGGATGAGGAAGGTCGAGGGTGTGAGGATGAGGAAGGTCGAGGGTGTGAGGATGAGGGAGGTCGAGGGTGTGAGGATGAGGGAGGTCGAGGGTGTGAGGATGAGGGAGGTCGAGGGTGTGAGGATGAGGGAGGTCGAGGGTGTGAGGATGAGGGAGGTCGAGGGTGTGAGGATGAGGGAGGTCGAGGGAGGTCGAGGGTGTGAGGATGAGGAAGGTCGAGGGTGTGAGGATGAGGAAGGTCGAGGGTGTGAGGATGAAGGAGGTCGAGGGTGTGAGGATGAGGGAGGTCGAGGGTGTGAGGATGAGGAAGGTCGAGGGTGTGAGGATGAGGAAGGTCGAGGGTGTGAGGATGAGGGAGGTCGAGGGTGTGAGGATGAGGGAGGTCGAGGGTGTGAGGATGAGGGAGGTCGAGGGTGTGAGGATGAGGGAGGTCGAGGGTGTGAGGATGAGGAAGGTCGAGGGTGTGAGGATGAGGGAGGTCGAGGGTGTGAGGATGAGGGAGGTCGAGGGTGTGAGGATGAGGGAGGTCAAGGGTGTGAGGATGAGGGACGTCGAGGGTGTGAGGATGAGGGACGTCGAGGGTGTGAGGATGAGGGACGTCGAGGGTGTGTGGATGAGGGAGTTCGAGGGTGTGAGGATGAGGGACGTCGAGGGTGTGAGGATGAGGGACGTCGAGGGTGTGTGGATGAGGGACGTCGAGGGTGTGTGGATGAGGGAGTTCGAGGGTGTGAGGATGAGGGAGGTGGAGGATGTGAGGATGGCTTGCAGAATGACAGTCAATTAGTCATGTTATAAAATCAAATTGGTGAGGTGTTGTATAAATAATGTTTTTTTTACTACTATGCTTCATAGACCTATCCTGTTGGGTAAGAAAAATTTAGGATTTAGAAAAAACAATTATACACTATGTAATTGTGTGAGTGGTTTTTCTGTGAGTGTATAGATGTTCATTTGAAGTGTACGTGCACAAAATGCAGTGCACGACTCAATATATGAAATGTGAGTTTTTCGTACCTCATGTTGAAGGTTGAGAGGAGATATGTGAGTTTGTTAGGTTATGAAACATCTAGTTTAGTGGGATTGGGTAGCAAACTTGCACTGTACTTGTGTTAGATGACAAGAAGAGACGGCTAAAGCGGTGTAAAATTATGGCAAGTTTGGAAAATAAAAACATAATAAGGTAACTAGATGTATATTTAATATGAATGGTTACAGCAGTGATTGTTGTGTGGTATGAGAGCAGCGTAATCAGGCAAGTTGTAAATTGAGACTGTCGAGTGCAGGTGGCGGCAGAGATGGCGAGTGGTGATTGTAACCAGATCCATCTGGTGGAATGGCTAGGTGTGTGGTAAATTAGAGGTGTTGCTTCTGGCTGAGCCATATTGAGACCCCCAGATGCTGTTATCAGATGGCTTTATCTTCCTGTCCACCTGACCCGGCTTAGATCAAGGCTGTTCGTTAACTGGTTAATGGAAAACTGCTTAATGTCCTTTGCAGTATGTTGAATTCCTGAAATGTTTAAATACCTTCCACATTGTCATTGTTGACTTTGGTAAAAAAAAAAATTCTGCCATTGTGAAATGCGAAAAGTGAATGTGTTACTGTAGCAGGAAAAAAACAAGTTAGGTATAGGGTGCAGTTTGTGCTAAAAATAAGAAACAACTTGGAAAAGCGTTTAAAATGTTTGTTATTAAAAATTTAAGTGTTTTGAGCATAATAAAATGTTATTTTTAGAGTGAGTCTCTCGGTTGCTTCCCCAAGCTCAGAGCCTAATGCTTGATACAACCCAAGTTACAATAAACATGCTGGGCTCTAGTCAACCTATCGCACCACCTTGGCAAGAAAGAACTATTGTAGGTGCCCATTGAAATGCCAATGGGGGCTTGGAATTACTGTTAGTAAAGAAAGCTAATGGATAAACCCAGCCAGAAAATCCTGCAGTGCATGAATAATACAGTGATTCTATCAGTACTTTAATAATAAACAAACATGCACGGAAGCCTTCCACCAATTACAAACCAAAAACAGCCAAGGAAAGGAGACATTCCTTTCAAAGGAATGTCATTCAAGGCAGTGGGAATGCCCTGCCCAAAGACTACCAGGGCAAACCAGAGATATTCACAACCCTGCCAAAAGCAGGTCCAGGTATGGACAGAAAAGTCTGGGGCCGACTGGCAGACCTTAGAATCACACCATTGAGCAGTGATCATTAATTAAAAGATTAAGATGTATTTTCCACTGTTCCCTTGTGTCAAATACCCGAGAAGATCATTTGCAGACTACTTTGCCATGTTGGGGGTGATAAATCGACTAAAGCTTAACTGAATTGTGTCTTGGACCATTTGCTCTGGCTGTGGGAACAACTGCATGGAACCTTTGCCAACAAAACAAAAAATTTATGATGTATCACAAATGTAATGTAAAGTTGGTATTACCAAAGCTATATGAAGGTCATAATGTTATGTAGTGCCAAAATTAAGTATCGGTAAATACTGAAACGGTAGCATTATTTATCAGTGGTGCAAGCACAGTTAATTTTGTTAACTATCTTACTTGCTGTTGAATGTATAAACTATACTGCATTTTACTTATAATATTAAATTAATTGTATTGCCAAAGCTCTTAACTAGTAAATGTGAGCAATTTGACAAAACTGATCCTGCCACGTTTATTTCAAAGCCCCAAAAAAAATAAGTTATCGAGTTGTTGAGAAAATTTAGGAAATTGTGTTGATAGATGTATGAACATAGGTAAGTCCAGTACATTTTATGCTTACGTTTTGCTGTGTCGCAGTACTGTACTGTACACACTTACATAGTATGTTATTAATTTTAATTTTGTTTATACTTGATTTTTTTCAGCTGAGCACTCCAGAGATTGCTCCAGACCTTCCATATTCCCTCCTTCCAGCACTTTCTGATGGCTACTTCTCAGATATCATCATCACTGCAAAGTCAGGAAGAAAGGTGAGGGTAGTCTTTTTCTCTGATTTGTCCATTTATTTCTTGAACTGGTTCTACTCAGTTTACTTTACAAATAGTTCTCACTGTTTCTCGATGCATACTCACTTTCTCGATTCTTTATGCACACTTCATCCCTATATCCTTATGTGCACTCACCACATCTGTCCCTCTTCTTGGCCTTTCCTCTTTCTACCCTCAAACTCACTGCCAGTTCATTTTTACAATTATCATCCATTCATTCAGCATAACTAATGTCTCAATAAAATCGGCTCAGTCTTATTATTTACAGACTTTTTGCAATTCACATTTTTCCATGACATTTTCACATCTTGATTGCTCTATTCTGACATAACAGATGTATCTTAGTGCATTTAGTTCTACTACTCTAACTGTTGATTTTTTGTGCTTTAGCAATGGCAGCATCTCACATTGGTACCACTTCTTTGTCTAACCTTCTAGCTGCCACAACTTCTAACAGCAAAAATAACTTTTCCTTCAATAATTTATTCTTCTCTCATTTGTTTTAATTCACAAATTCCTCCTCCTCCTCAATTACAGATCCCTTGCATTTAAAAATCAACCACTTCTTGGATGTTTTGTTTTTCCTGCTATTTTTAGCCAATTGAGACAAATTCGTGAGATACTGTATGTATTTCTTTGCCAGGTAATAAATATTTTAATTTATTTTCCATTCCTCAGTTTGAGGTGCACAGCATAGTTTTGGAGTCAAGCATGCCGAGTATAGAGTGGTCATCCCTGTGTGGTGTAGATGATGCCGCCCTGGAGACCATCCTGCACTACCTGTACTCCTGCTGCCTCCCCTCCACACTCACTGTTGCAACTGCTCACAAGACCATTGCAGCCACCCAACATTTAGACGGCTTTGACGACTTTAGAAAGAAATGTGATATCTTCATTAAGAACACAAATCTCAGGAACAGTGAGTGAACATTTTTTGTTTTTTTGTGCTGTTTTTTTCACATACAATGGAACTGGTTTTCTGGACTACAGTAATTTGGACTTGATTATCAAGGTTTTAATTTGTGTATTTATCTCAAAATTTTGTGAATGTTTTCATACTATAAATATTAGAACATTCACATAATATACTGTATACACTTTGAATGGGTGGCCTGGGCTGCCATCTGATGGCAGTCAGGGACATCATGGATTAAGTGTGTACCCCCAAGGCAACGATTGTTTGCCTCCTTTTCTCATCAGCATGAGATGGCCCGGTTGACACTTGAGTGCTCACTTGTACTCCACCAGTTGTTTCTCTGGTGGGGCTCAAATAGATGTCTTCTGTGTCTCTCGTTACCATAGTCTTGGCCGTTTTGTCCACTGTGAGGAGCTGACTCGGGGAGCATCTGAGGACATTAGCTCAGAAAGAGGGTGTTGAGCAGTGAAATATTACTTTCTGAGCCACTCTTGAATTATCTTGTGCATTCCATTTTTGTCTCCCTCTTTTCCGAGCTTACTAGGGTGGTCTTTGTTTCAAGTGGGGATTGCCAGTTCTGCCGATACTGTACAATTTTAGTAACTGGTGTTACCACCAAGAAGCAATTTTGACTCATAAATAATAGTTAGCATAGCAGTAATTGATGTGTGTTTCCTGTTTTTAATTACTGCCTTCCAGGGGTATACAAATATCCCTGTATTGTATCCCTGAGATGGCTCCCTCTTGTCTCATAGCGAGCTGGTACTAAAGTGCTAGATTGAGTTACTTGTCACTGTCTCTTTCACGTAATTTTCTTGACAACCATTTGTCAAGGTATTTGTCACAGGTGAAGGGGATGAGGTTGACAAGAACCAAGCAAGTGATATAAATCTTAGGTGGGCATTATGGGCTCTGGCTCAGGAGGGATCCAATTAACACTTTGCTTGGCCGATAACTCATAATGCATCCTTATATAAATATACTGTACTCAGTCTGGGCGAGGATGCACACAGAGTCCAAAAATAAAATATTCATTAAAGATCATTATGGGATTAGTGTTAAAATGTGCGCCTTTTGATTGCGAACAATTTATTACCAGAATAAACAACGTAACACAAAAATTGAGATAACAAAACTGGAAAGAGTAAAACTGGGAGCGCTCCCACGTGCACCCACACTAAAATGTGTATACTTTATTCTTTCCAGTGTTCTGACCTTACTTTGTGCTACATTGTTCATTTTAGTATCAAATTGTTTGCAATCTAAAGGCGCGCATTTTAAACTAGTCCCATAATAATTGAACAATAAATGGAATTTTAACAAATATTTGAATTTTGGACGCAAAATGCGTCTCCACGGGACATCCATAGAGTTAATTATAAACTCAATATCCATCTCCGCAAGCTGAAAGTGTTAAGTCTAGCCAGCCTGCGGTCTACCCTAGTGCCCATAACGTTCGTAAGTTTGCTGCTTTGGCTGCAGTGTTCGGCAACATGTCTTGGGCTGACATTTGCACACATGGGTTTTGGAAGTCGAACAGGGGTCCTGGTCGCCCATTATCTGGTCAGTATTCCTGGTCCCAGTCATTCGTGTGTGGCTTTGAGTCACAGGTTGCAGCCAGTTGTCTCAACTTAACGTTGATGTGCACATGGTGACTGCCTTCCGGGCAGTCACCATGCCTTCTGTCCCTCTTTTTACTGTCTTTGGTTAGGTAATTCCAGGGAGCCGGAGAGACTCCCCCACAGAAAACCACCGTTGAATGTAATGAAACGCAATTTTCTGGGTGAGCCCCCGGAGGTTCTTTGGTACCCTCCCTCCCTCCCTCCAGTTGGCGGTTTTGTTTTTTGATGCTTAGCCTCTGAACTGAGGTGTGAGTAGCCGGCACGGGAGGTCTGGGGCTTACCCTCCCGGGAAGTGGAGGGTTGTGTGGATAAGCAGCGCAGCGGTGGTGTATGACGTTTGCTTGTTTGCGTGAGGGGGCCAGGTTCTGGCTCGTGGTCTTTAGTAGGCTGAACTCCATTGGCCGATGCCCAAGACTAATATAGCGTACTGTATATCAGTCCAGTAGCTCCAAGGAGCCTCCAGGTCTCACTCAGAAAATGGCGTTTCGTTACATTTAATGCTGGTTTTTTACATTAGTTTAGTCTATAATTTCTATCTATATACAATATACGTTAACCCTTAAGCTGCTAAGGGGTCCTGAGGACATTTACACCCCTGTGCACAAGAAAAAAATTTCTAAAAAATTATTTCATCTTTTAAAAATGCTAATTTGTGTTCCCTGAGCACGGGGAAAAAAAATTATAGGTGACATATTTTGGACGCAACAGGCCGAGGAAGTCTGGCAAAATGTGGGCATTGACAGAGTGGTTGTCAGTGGCGGTCAGCGTCACCTGGGCTGACAGGTGGGAGTTGCCACAAAGATATTGTTACCTAATTATTTCAATGTCTGATTGATTTTTTCTTAGTTTTTTTTTTTTTTAGCAATAATATTATTCAATAGTGTGATAGATTTATATAATAAAAGGGGGTGAATCATCGCTATACTCAAAAGTATGGTGTGCATATTAGTGATTCAATTATTATGTTCTTAAAACAATAAACAAATAATTTTGCTGTTATTACACTCTATACACTGGTTATATATATATCTGCATGTTTTGTTCATCATAACGAACCACTAAGTTGGTATTATGAGTCGAAAAGTAACGAGGAGTGACCGCCACACACCAGTCAGCCACTCGTTGCCACTCCCTCAACAACGCCTCACTCGCCCACTGTCTCCTCCCACCATCTTTTTTTTTATTTTATTCACTATATACAGACGTTATATATAAGTATCTACGTGTTTTGCTTGACACAACTGTACAACTAAGCTGATATAGTTAGTTCAGGCACTAAGAGACGTCGCTACACAGAGTCACCTGGTAGCTGCCTCCCTCACTCATTCAAGTTCACACGCACTAAAATTTCTCCTCCAACAATACCGTTTGTGGTGGTGTTGCACTATATACACACACATTATATATAAGTATCTATATGTTTTGTTCACCACAACTGTACAACTAAGCTTATATAGTTAGTTCAGGCACTAAGAGGCATCGCTATGCGCACAGTCGGCTGGCAGCTGCCTCCCTCACTCATTCAAGGTCAGGCGCACTAAAATTTCACCCCCAACAATACTGTTTGGGGTGTTATTGCACTATATACACACACATTATTTATAAGTATCTACATGTTGTATGCACCGTAACTGTACACCTAAGCTTGTAGGGTGCCCAAAGAGCATAGTGGTCACCCTCTACACATCCAGACAAGTCATGCAGACGACGCCACCTCCGTCACCCAAATGGCTCCTCCCAACATGATCCTTTCGCTATTATTACACTAATACACACATTATATATAAGTATCTACATTTGTGTTCACCATAGAGAACCACTGAGCTGATATGGTAAATGCAGACAATAACAGGTGACCACACAGTCAGTAAACGATGCTATCTCCCTCTTTCCCTTAGCATCACTCCTCCCACAGCGCTAATTATCATAATCCTGATCATTTTTATCACAGTCAAAGGTCATCTGTAATACTGTCATCGCTAAATAATAGCAGTTACATATTTATTTTGACATTTTTAGGCAATGCTGTGGTCACAAGCTGAACAGCAATGCTGTTAGCTCATGCTGTGTGCACCAGCCTTGGTTGCTCCCACAGTACAGTACTGTGACTCTTATACCGGAGAATATTGCCCACAATTTTTTTTAAACATGGCGTCTGTTTACAAGAGCCCTGAGGAAGCTAATGTGAACCCCGTGTAGCCGCAGGCCATTTGAATTGTGCCTGGCACCCTATGGCGTATATATATGCCATGCGCACCATGGAACATGTTACTCATGGCGTATATATACGCCATGCGCAGCTTAAGGTTTAAGGAAGGAATTAACTTGGATCATAATCACCTTAAACATTAAGCACATTCCTGAGTAAATTAACTTTTACCAGATGAAGTTCCTCAGCATAATCTTTCTAATTATAATACAAATGAACAAATAATACAAATTCAATGCTAGATTTCTTGTCAGTATGTCTACTTGAATTAAAATTTCTGGCATTATCAACAGATAATCAGCAAAAGTGCTGGGGGATTCTGCAGAGTTGAAAGACTTAAATATATAAACAAAAAATTCTGGAGGGACCCCCGTCGCCTCTCCTAAGCTATCCAGGCTGATGTATACTTATTTAGCTTTCTGGCATCAGAGTGCATGGAGGAGCTGCCTACCAGGGACCATGGCCAGAATTTGGCCCCCCTCAGAGAGACGCGAGAAGCAATGGCCTATGGAAACCCCTGTGTGGTTGGAAGCATTCTATGTCTGCCATCGACCGGGTCTGTCATCCAGAAAGGTAGGTGTCCCAAAACAAACCCCCACACTGGTGAAAATTGCTTCCGGAAGCTGAACGAGTGGACAGAACTCCCCAAACAAAAACTAGCAACTAGCATGACATCATGTTGCCGCTCCACCGTCTGCTGTATATATACCTACCAAACACCGTTATTTTTTGTTTGGGGGTTGTTTTTTGTGTTTTCTGTCGTTTGGGTCTGGGCCCTGTGGTTTGGGCTCAGTGTCCCTGTCTGTTTATGCTTGCTCCCACATCTTGTGTCCCTCGGTTTTCAGTCATTTTGGCTGTTTCACTGGGGTTCTGTCTGGGTGCTGTGCTTTGCTCTTTCTGGGGTGTATTTCCGCCGGCAAATGTGGTGGTTTGGGCTCCCCCGGGTTCGATTCCGGGTTCCTTTGGGTTCTTTGGTTTTGTTCCAGAGGTTTCTTCCTCTTGGGCCCCCTTTGGGGGTTCAGGAGGCTTTTAGTTACCTCGTATGTGACTCGGTTCTGCCTTCTGGGGTTCCGGGGTCTTCCTGGCTTGCAGGCTGATCTTTGTGGGTGTTGGCACATGTTGTGGCCGTGCCATGTCCTGCAGTTCGTGGGCATTTTTGGTTGTCGTCCGGC